CAAATTAAAAAAGAAAAAAAAATCCTATACAAAACACTACAACCAACATTCTATAAATTAACAACAACATCATAGCCACAAACAAAAACAACATTAAATACATAAACATAAACACAAACAACAACAACTACGACAACATTATACACGTAAACATTCTAAAAACAAACAACAACATTATTTACATACACTCTAAACTAAAACAACATTATTGTATACATACATACCACATAGACACTTCAAACACAAACAACAACATTTTATATATAAACATAAACATAATAAACACAGACAACAACATTGTATGTATAAACAGAGACTCCAAAAACATACAACAACTTTATATACATACCCATAGACATTCCAAACACTAAGAACAACATTATATGCATAAACATAGACCAGATAAACAACATTATAAACACAAACAACTACATAGACATCCAAAACAACACAAACAAACGCGGACAAACGCATTAACAACTGCAATTAAAAGGCATATACACAACAGAGTCGAAAATTACAACGTATCCAGGCAATGAAATTTTAATTACAACCGTCAAATTTTCATCCGCTTGATTATAAAGACACACGACATGAAAACTACAATTATAACAACTGCCATCATCTTGTGCTCGCACACAATTACTTTTGCTGCTGCTACTACTACTACTACTTCTACTACTAATACAACTACTATTACCATTACTACTACTTCTACTACTACTGCTGCTGATGCTACTACTACTACTATTAATATAACTACTATTACCACTACTACTACTTCTTCTACTTCTACTATTGCCACTACTACTAATGCATTTACTACTAATACTACTACTACTGCTGCTGCTAATACTACTACTACTATTATTTATTGTTTATCCAACGTTAACATTTTACCCTCACTGCCTTGTGAGTGATGTTGGATCATCAAAGGCTAGGCCCACCGCTTATAACTGTGGTTGCGTAAGGAAGGGCGTCCTGCGTAAAAACTAGCCAAAAAATAATTCTTATGATGACGGAAATAACAATGGCCCTCAGTATCCGGCAGAAGAGGGTGCGAAGAATCTCTGGAGACCCAGTCCATGGGGTTGTGGTGCAAGGCCCTGTGGATGGTCTGGCTACTGGCACCCCACTTTATAGTGTGGCGGTGCAAGGCACTATAGATGGAAGGACTACTTGTAGACCAAGGGGTTTGGTACCTGAAATGTAGGCACGTTGACAGGAAGAAGTTTGGAAGTAGTGAAGCAGCTGCAGAGGAGAATGGTTGACGTGGCTGCATTACAGGAGATCAGATGGAAGGGTGAGGGTACAAGGTTTGTGGGGGCTAAAGGTGGAAGATATAAGTTGTGGTGGAAGGGGGATGATGGTACGGGAGGAGTTGGTGTGATGGTAAGAAAAGAGTTGGTGGAGAAGGTGTTGGAAGTGAGGCGGAGAAGCAATGGTGTAATTGTGGTGGTGATGGTGTTTGGAAAAATAATAGTCAGGGTGATATCAGGATATGCTCCGCAACAAAGTAGGAAGGAAGAGGAGAAGGATAAGTTTTATGATGATGTTTCTGACGAGATTGGGCAAGCGGGGTGGATGAGTTTGTGGTGTTGTTGGGTGATTTGAATGGTCATGTGGGGGCGGATGCAGACGGATATGAAAGTGTACATGGAGGATGGGGATATGGTATACGGAATGAGGAAGGGCGTAGAGTGTTGGAGTTGGCGGATGCACATAGCATGGTGGTGGGGAATACCTGGTTTACAAGGGAACCAGCGCGATTGATTACTTATAGGTCTGGGGAGCATAGGTCGATGATAGACTATATATTGGTAAGGGCCAAACATAGGAAGTATGTGAAGAATGTGAAGGCGATACCTGGTATGCTGCAGCATAGTATGGTTGTGATGGATGTGACATCAAAAGAAATGGGGAGGAGGAAGAATGATAAGTTTGTGGCAAAGAGAAAGACATGGAAGTTGCAGGATGCAGAGGTGAGGAAGGCATTTGAAGTGAAGGTTGCTGAAAATTGGGAGAGTGGTAAGGATGGAGATGTTTGGGAGAGATACAGGGACTGTGTGTTGGCTACGGCAGATAAAGTATGTGAATGGACGAAAGGAAAGTGTAGGCATGGTGAGACGTGGTGGTGGGATGAAGATATAAGAAGGGTTTTGGAAGTCAAGAAGGAGAGGTTTAGGGTATGGAGAAGAGACATGACGGAGGAAGCGGAGTCTGAGTATAGGAAGGCTAAGAAGGTTGCAAAACAGGCAGTGGCAACTGCAATGACGAATGTATCAGATAGGTTAATGAAGGAAATGGAATTTGATGTGAGTTCGAGGAAAATGTTCAAAGTAGCAAAGCAGTCAATGAGGGATAGGAAAGATGTTATAGGGAATGGATGTGTTTGGGATGGATCTGGCAAGTTGTGCATAGATGAGGAGGAAAAAGCTCAGGTGTGGAAAGCTCATATGGAAAGGTTGATGAATGAAGAGAATGAGTGGGATGGAGATGTGGAATCCGCGGTCACACACGGACCTATAGAGAAGGTGACGATGGAGGAAGTAGAGAAAGCAGTTAGAGAAATGAAACTAGGTAAGGCTGCAGGGGTTTCGGAAGTGGCGGCAGAACATATAAAAGCGAGTGGGGTGATAGGAATTGAAGTTATGATGAGAATTGCTAACAGTATGTTTGATGATGAAGGTATACCTGAGGATTGGCGACACAGTGTGTTGGTGCCGTTGTATAAGGGCAAAGGAGATGTGAGAGATTGTGGGTCATATAGGGGTGTGAAATTACTAGAGCACGGAATGAAGGTAGTGGAGAGGGTGCTTGAGAGGAGGTTGAGAAGTATGGTGACAGTTAATGAAATGCAGTGTGGGTTTATGCCTGGTAGGGGAACGGTGGATGCGTTGTTCATGGTGAGAATGTTGCAGGAGAATTATAGAAAGAAGAAACGAAGATTGTACATGTGTTTTGTGGATCTAGAAAAGGCTTTTGATCGAGTACCGAGGAAGTCATTGAATGGGCGTTGAGGAAGAAAGGAGTGAATGAGAGACTTGTTAAAGCTGTGATGCAGCTGTATGAAGGGGCAAAGACAAAGGTGAGGGTTGGAAGGGGGATATCGGATATCCTACCTTAACGCTTTTAGTGTTAAGGTAGGAGTGCATCAAGGATCAGTGTTATCACCGTTTCTGTTTGCAATTGTGATGGATGTTGTGTGTGGAAACATAATGGAGGGGTTGTTATTTGAGATTTTGTATGCAGATGATTTAGTCTTGATGGCTGATAGCATGGAAGAATTGCAGTTAAAATTTGACAGATGGAAAAGTGTTATTGAAAAGAAAGGGTTAAAAGTTAATATTGGTAAGACGAAGGTAATGGTGAGTGGGGAAGTTGGGGAGCGAGTGTTATCACTCGCTCCCCTGTGGGGTATGTGACAGGAAAGTGAAGACTAACTCGGTATTGTGTATAGGATGTCAGAAATGGGTGCAGAAGAG